AGCCCATAAGGCTTAGGGTGCCCCCTTGAGGAACCTACTTAGACCAGGTCCCAGCAAAGGGGCCAAGAACCTACAGGGTTTAGTGGGGTCCACGAGGACCGTGATTGAGCTGAAGCTTGAGGGCAGCCTTCCTATCTATTATCTTTTCCAACAAGATGTGGCGGCAGGTGAGAAGAGAAGGCACTCGCAGGGCGGAGTTGGCATGGTCATAGGGCCCTAGGGGTATCACAGCCATCTCTAGGGACCCTACTCCATGACAAAGTGCAGTTTCCCAGAAAGCCCTGCACCTATCTCCTTGGAAGCTGACAGGCTTCATGGCCTCAGAAGGGGCAACCATCCCTGCTGTTTTCATTCTGCTTTGCCTTAACACACACACAAAGTCACACGTGTCACGAGTTTTGCTCTGAACAGTTTGAGATGCAGTTTCCCAGAAACCCTTCTTGAACACTGGCAGGCTTCATGGCCTCAGCAGGGGCTACCATGCCTGCTGTTTTCATCCCTCTGTGGCTTCACAGACACACACACACACACACACACACACACATACACACACCATGAGTTTTGCTCTGTACAGTTTGAGGTGCTGTTTCCCAGAAAACTCTGCATCTGTCTCCTCGAAATTCAGCAGGCTTTCTGGCATCAGAAGGGGCTACCATCCCTGCTGTTTCATCCAAATCAGGCAAGAAATGACAAAGGTATAGGCATTTTTGTGATTCCCCATTATAGCCTATGGGTGAAATGCCAAAATGAGTCAAAACAGCATTGAAACAGCAAAACAGTTTCGGCGAAATGAAACAGGACAGTGCTTCAAAATAGCAAAATGAAGCACTCTCCCTTCAAAATGGCGTATCTGAAATCAAAATGAAATGTTGCCGTTTTGCACAGCCCCAATGTGCATCAAATGAAGTTGCTCAGACCTGTGCACCCAATGTTCCATCGACCAACCCCAAAGAGATGGAGAAGATGTTGTATTTTAAACCTGGAGAAACTATCCCCAGCCTAAAATGTATATGCCGTCAAGACAGAGTACCTGAGGTATGGCTGTGGAGAAGGAAGAAGAATCCCCAGAACTTCAGTGTTCCCCTAATCTATGTCCCAGTTTCAGCCAGGCCAGTTTTTCAGCCCCACTCCTATAAAATTAAGAACAGCCTGAGGGTTGCACTGCATTGCAACACCAGCTATGGGCTCCAAGCAATTGTTCCAGTAGCAATCTGTGCCTCTTTCTCTTCCTTTTTCCTTCTTTCCCCATAGTGTGGAATTCCCCCAGCCTTGACCCCTGAACTGACAGGTGGGATGGCAGTGAACTAGGATCTGCTGCAACTTCTCTGCATCCATTGCCACTACATGTATGAAACACCTGTGCTTGCCAAAAGGACAGCTGATTGTCTGGCATCACAGTTACTGTGGCCAAAGGGTGCTCAGTTCATTTGAGGGTGGGGAGAAGTTGGCTTCCAAGTCTTGATTTGCCTGGTGCATTTTGGGTCATTGGCAATGTGTAGGGGGCACACACGAGTGCATGTGCACCCTGTGAGATTGGTGGTGCACCCCCTGTGAAAAGTGCTGCTATGCTGCCGGTGGTGCCCATGGGCGGTCGCTGTTCGCCACCCTCCCACCCCGCCCCACTGCTGACACCGCGACCAGCATCTGCAGGTGGTCCTTGATCACCACTGACCACCGCTGAGGCTGCCAGCGGCATCCTTGGGTGGTTGCCAACCACCGGTTGGCACTTACCACCCTCTCCCTGTTGCCAACACCACTGTGGCTGCCTGTGGGAGCTCCCTGCTCACTGCTGCCATGTCCTCACCGCTGCCACCACCGCCACTGTCACTGCAGGTGGTCATCGTGCCCCCCTAACCTCTGGGGGCATGTGTCATTTATGTTTTGGGTGCTTGACACTATAGAAAGAAGGTGCCTCCAGGAGCTGGGACTGTAGGAAAAATACCCAATTTTTGACGTCTCGCAATAAAAAAACCCAGCAGAAACTGGCAACCACAGGTGTCTTCAGAGTTTCTCTCAATTGACCCAGGAGGAAATGAAAGTAGAACTGGGTCTTGCTCTCTGATCCCATGCACAGCAACCGCCTGCCCTTTTTGTCTGGTTGTTCTCTACTCTGTGCACAGAGTGATGGCACTTTCCATGCCTGTTTCTAAATGTTTTGCCCCTGAATATATAGTTGTCTTGTCACGTGGTGAGAACAGAAATGCTGACTTTTGTTGGCATCCAGTGATGGAAACGGATGTGGTCTTTATCTTCTGTCCACCTCCATGCGATGAAGATTTTTAATTAAAAAAAAGCTTCAGACTGGCTTCAGGCAGGCCGTCCCACTCCCAAAATCAAATCCAGCCTTTCCAGTTGGTCAGGTTCTAGCTGAGACTGAGGAAGGCTGTAACGAGGCCTCCAGGACTCCAGTGGTTCCTGCTCTTGTTCCTGTGTGGGTGTAGTTGATAGCAGTGGTAAGCACCCTGCAATTACAGTCAGTGCCTTTCCTGCTTTTTCAGAAACTACTCCCTGTCTGGCTTTAGGAAGGAAGATTCCCACTGGCTCACTGTGGCCAATTCAAAGCACATAACATGGTGTACTTAAGAGATTATGCCATTTCTTGCAAAGTGTCTGGCATTGGTCACACTGGTGGACACAGGCCAGGTGAGGGAGCTTATTGCCCTGTTCCTGGCTGGCAAATCTTATCTTCCTCCTAGAGCTGGACACAGTGAACCAAAAAAACCCCCAAAACACGTAGCTGAGTATATCTACTGAAGGGCCACGGTTGTCTGGCTGGGGCTGGAACAGCCTCCTATCTGCTGTGGGCTGGGCACTATGGGGGATCTGTAATGGAGATGCTATGGGCTGACATCTACATTCACCATGAACTTTTTGAAACGGAGAGTAAAACTCAATAGACCAGGGCTGGCATTTTCCCAGGGAGCTTGATTTCCATGGAAGATCAATGAGAGGAGATTGCCAAATCCATTTAGCTCCCCTGAAAACCCCAGCCAACAAGTAAAATGGTTTAGGGATCAGGTTCGAGCTGGCAACATAGAACCAGCTGGGCCACTGAGTCCAGCCTCCCGCTATTACAGGCAACCAGATCCAATGATCTGTTTACCAACAGATCACGCTCTACCTGAAAACTACCCACTGGGAGGTTGGCCAGTCCCCTCCGTCCTCTGATGTTTGGCAACATTCTTCAGTTTTCCAGCCTAAATTTGGGCACGGTCAGTTTATTGCCATGTGCACTTGTGCCGACATCACCTTGCACCATGGGCTAAGTTTGGATGTGTCAGATGAAAAGCAGGTAGCAATCCCACCTCAAAATCACCATGTGACTGTGCTGCATGGTGAGGACCCAGCAGTTAGTTGTGGTGACTGCATCCAGCATCGTCCAGCTGAAGTCAGACAGCACCTCTGAGCCAGAAGATCACAAGTGCTCATCCCAGTTCTGCCACTGGACTGCAAGCCACTGTATTACACTGACCTTTCTTTCTCCATCTGTCAAATGGGTCTAATATAACTTATTTACCTATCTCAAGGGATCCTGTGAGCTTTAATTGAAAACTGTTGCCAGATTATAAAGGGCATATGGGCATAGAGCTTCAAAGCCTTAATCATTGTACTAACCATGACTGTGGTTTGTAACAACATTACAGGTTGCTGATGCCTTCATCCAGGGCTCCATGTGCCAGTATTAATTAAATGCTTATTAATAGGAACCAGTCTTCTCTCATCTCTAATCTTTCTTTCTTTCATTCATTCGTTCATTCATTCTTTCATTCTTTCTCTGTCTGTCTAGCAGTCTTCACACCTTTTCTTTATCTGCTCCCCACAGACTTGGCCACTGATATGCTCAGTTTGCTATAGCCATTTCCCATTTAACTCCCTTTGCTCTTATTGGGAAATGATTCAAAGAGAGAATATCTTGCATGCCATAGCCTGTTCTAAGTTCTGGATCAGTGGCTCCAAAGTGTGGCTTAGCTGCTGGGAAAGTAAAATTCAGGTCCAAGGCCTACTGTTGGCTCTAAGAAGGACAGCAATTGAAGCTTCAAATTTCCTAGATTTCATAGACATTAGGGCTGGAAGGGAACTTGGAAGATCATCGAGTCCAGCCCCCTGCGCCAGGGGAGGGAAGTCAAAATTGCTATTCATTGAGTGCGTCTACACGTGCAATTAATGCGTAGCAATAAACTCTGGTGCTTATTGCACCAGAGTTTATCACTCTTTAATGCACAGTTTGAACATGTGTCTGGGACTGCTGCACATTGAGCCAGGTCGGAGCAGCCCCAGCTGGCAGGGGGTCCAAGGAGGGTCAGCCTGCCAGCCTGGGGCTGCTCCAACCCAGCTCAATGTGCTGCAAAGGGGCTGGATGGGGCACAAGAGTGCTCCAGCGAAAGGCTAGCCGGCAGGCAGCCCCCGCACTGAAGCACCCCCATGCCCCAGCCAGCCCCATCAGCATCTACACATTCATTGCTGCAGAGTAAAAAACTGCAGCAGTATAGTACTTGTGTTTGAAAGCACTACCCTGCTGTGGAGTTTAATAGTTTACTCCAGCATAATAGCCCTGCACATGTAGACGTTCAATGTTTAGCGTGGAGCTAATTAGTCAACTCCACAGTAAACATCTCGTGTAGCCATATCTACCCAAATGTTTCTTTGCAGACAGCCCTCCAAGACGTTCTTGAATAAATTTGCTGAACTATAATTACTGAATGGTAGCAGAATAATGAAAAAAACCATGATCTCCATCAAGCCAAGCTTGCAAGCAAAGCAAAAAATCCATAGTATTTCATAGTAGTTTACATATTGGTTTGCATACTGAGAAAAAAACCATGTATTGCTGCTAGACAAGCCAAACCCACGAAAACCCTAAATTATTCTTCTGAACAAACCACCCCCGAATTCTCCGACACATAAAAAGGACATGTTAGGGTGTTACAGCAGAAGCACCTTTTCGTAGGCTGCTCTTCTTCCACTGCGGTATTATAGCATCCTGCTTTGAATCAGCTGCAATGAGCCGGCAGCTGTTCGCTGGAAAATCCTTTTACAGACCTAAGGGCTTCACTTCAGCATCCGCCGTCTGTGGTGTAGGCAGGCACCGGCACAGTGGGCCTTCTGTCTGCAGGCCTTTCGGGAGATGTGGCGCTGGTGGCTACAGCAGCAGGAGTCTCCAAAACCTGGGTGGAAGTAAAAATATTGCCTGTGGTGGAGGTTACCAAAGTGGGGTTTATGGAGGCTTTGGTGTTGACTATTGCATGGGTTACGGTGGCTGGAGATGTGGTGACGCGTGTTACAGCAATGAAGGCTTTGGTGGTGTTAGTTTTGGTGGCAAGCTAGGTCTTTGTGGCCCCAGAGGTCATGGTGCACTTGGAAATTATGGAGGCAGTTGTAGAAGTGAAGGTATTTATAGGGTCAGAGTCAACGAGGACCTCCTGCAGCCCCTCTGCGTGGGGGTCGACCCAGAGATCCAGCAGATACGAGCCCAGGAGCGAGAGCAGATAAAGAAACTCAACAACCAATTTGCCTGCTTCATCGACAAGGTAAGAGCGGAAACTTTCTTAGAAACTTCCAAGGAAAGGGCAACAATGTTTGCATGACAGGCAGGTAGGGAGTAGGCTTGCCTGGGCATGAATGGAGGGCTGGATTGGATGGATGAATGGATAGATAGATAGAGTGGTAAAGCAGTGTAACTCATCCAAGGTGCATTTTCCTCAAAATGTTATTACACGTAGGACACATGAGTTTATCAAACCACAAAATAATTAAACTAACTTTACTAGTCAGGCATTCATTTTCAGCCAAGGAACCAATGTGTGGCAATTCTCTGCACAGATTTCTAAATCTTGTAGCAATATATGCCGAAAACAAACCCATCCAGTGTCATTACATCCCACGAGACAAGTAAAAAGACAAATTCACTTATGAATACTTGGGAAGTTTGGTTTTATTTTTTCATTCCTCTCGTTCCAGCCCTATTCTTAAACCACAATAATCATGCAAATCAAAATATGAACACAGGAAAAGGACTTGTCTAGACCTCAATTCAGGAAAGCAAATAATCAGGCACTTAACCCTAAGCATGTGCTTACAAGCTGTCCTCATTTGCATCTCTGACCCCACTTATAAACCCTTTAAATACTGCTGTTGTAATATCATTGGAAGTGGGGGTTGCAACTAATAGAGAATACAGGTACCCTTTTTTCCCATTAATTGTGTTTAAATATAGCATGGTCTGCATTTCTGTCTAGCTAGCCCCATAACCTCTCCCCACCCCCATCTCTTCTCTCTCTTTCTATCTTCATGTCATTTACCTACCTGTGACCTGGTTCTGCCTTGTTGCCAACCTCCTTATCTCCAGGTGGGCAGGGCTGATTATATCAGCTGAGGGTTTAACATAAAAATATATTTGTAATTTCCAAATGAGGAAATTTGGAAGAACACACACAAGCCCATTCCTGTTCAAGACTCCCAGTGCGTATGTTAGCCGCTTGAAATTAAGCATAGATTTACATTGCATTTAGGCCTTACGTCTATGCTTAGTATGTGAGCAATGGCCAAGGAGCAATGGTCTCAAGTTGCAGCAAGGGACATTTAGGTTGGATATTTCTTGCTGGGAGGGTAGTAAAGAACAGGCTACCGAGAGAAGTTGTGAACTCTCCATCCTTGGACATTTTTAAGACTTGGCTAGACAAAGCCCTAGCTGGGATGATTTATTTGGGGCTGGTCCTGCTTTGAGCAGGGGGTTGGTCTAGATGTGACCTCCTGAGGTCCTTTCCAATCCTCATCTTCTATGGTGTGCTTAAATGCTTCCTTGCTAACTCAGGGCCTGATCCTTATAGTATGATGGTTCAGTAATTGAGCACTGGCTCTTTCTTTCATGGCTGTTCCCCAGCCTTTCCTATATTCTTGACCTGTTTCCTTTCAGGTCCGATGCCTGGAACAACAGAACAAGGTTTTGGGGACCAAGTGGAACCTCTTGCAGGAGCAGGTTCTCCCATGCAGAAAAAATCTCCAGCACCTATTTGAGAACTACCTCTGCAGCCTGCAGAGGCAGCTGGACTGCTTGCTGAGTGAGCGGGGACAACTGGAGCCAGAGCTGCAGAATGGCCAGAAGCTGGTTGAGGAGTTAAAGTGCAAGTAAGCCAGGTGGTGAAGCAGGTGAAAGGCAGCAAACACCCCCTTCTCCACAGCCTTTGCTTTGGACCTCTTGTATGCTGAAGCATCATGTGTATTAGAGGTTCTTGTATGGACTGAACCTTTCCAGTACTGGAGCACCTTGCAGTCTTAATGCTTTTACTTTCACTAGGCCACTAGGTAGAGAAGTACTCCGTTCTACGAATGGGGAATGAAAAGCCAGATCCTCAAAGGTATTTAGCACCTAATTCCCTTTCATTCTAGCAGAAGCACGACACTTTTGAAGATCTCAGTGTCTAGGTCAAGACCACAGGGAGCAAGTTCACTCTGCTTAATTGCCATTTTTGGGGCACTAGGGCAGCAGTGACTGGTCAAGACTGCTTCCATCCAAGTTGGACGTGGGTATGGGCAGGAAGCTTTATGGACATGGCCAGAATCTATGACAGAGCAGAGACTTGAGATAGGAATGTAGACAAATAGGAGAAAGTCCAGCGGAGGGCAATGAAAATGTTTCGGGGGCTGGGGGTCTTGACTTCTAAGGGGAAGCTGAGGGAACTGGGCTTATTTAGCCTGCAAAAAAGAAGACTGAGAGGGGATTTAATAGCAGCCTTCAACTCCCTGCAGGGGGGTTGCAAAGAGGATGGAGCTGGGCTGTTCTCAGTGGGGGCAGATGCCAGAACAAGGAGCAATGGGCTCAAGTTGCAGCAAGAGAAGTTGAGGTTAGAGATTAGGAAAAACTTTCTCACTAGGAGGGTAGTAAAGCACTAGAGCAGGTTGCACAGAGAGGTGGTGGCATCTCCATTCTTGGAGGTTTTTAAGACCTGGCTAGACAAAGCCTTGGCTGGGATAACCTAGTTGGGGAAGGGGGTTGGACTAGGTGACTTCCTGAGTTCCTTCTCAACCCATAATTTTCCATGAGTCTGTGCTGTCTTCCAAGTGCTCACTTTTCAGGATAGAAATCATGACACAAGGTAAGCAATGATGAGGAACAGGCCTTCTACCCTTTAGCTTTCTTATGGTACCACATTTCTTTCTCTACTGAGTATTTGTAATGGTCTCTCTGACAACTGTGTGCATTAAATCATGGGTCAGCATTCATTTTTTTTGGTCTTTGCCCCTATCTTTCGGTTACAATTTTTAATTGGCACCATTTAGGTTGAGATGTTCAAAGACATGTGTTTGCCCCTGAAAATCCAGATGGCATCTGCTCTTTTTCTAATCTGCTCTCACACGACTGCCATTGTCTCTTCTCTTGCCCCCCTCCTCCCTTCCCCCCACTCCAGATATGAACAGGAAATCAACAGACGCACAGCATCAGAGAACGAGTTCATTTTACTTAAGAAGGTGAGTCATTCAGCTTCTTGGATGGTAACATTTGGGTCACAAGTCAGTGGAATGATCCCTGATCTCGTGTCATCCCTGATCTCCTGCAGTGATCTCATATATGAGAGAGAAGATGCCAACTGAGAACATTAAAAAATAAATTAAATGGCTTCTTTTCAGGACGTGGACTGTAGCTATATGAGCAAGGTAGAACTGGAGGCAAAGGTGGATACACTGAGGCAGGAGATAGAGTTCCTGAGGTGTGTGTATGCCCAGGTAAGATGCCCACTTCTACTCCCCTTAAATTCATATAATGGAAATCGATCCTGTAAGTCGTCCTGGGTTCATAGGGAAACTGGGCCTCCATTGATGTGGAACAATGGACAAGACCCAGGCTTCCTGGGCCTGCACATTTACAACTCTGTGGATGTGTCTACATGTGCCCTTTACTGCGCATTACACTAATTGAATGCACAATAAAGTGTCGCCGTCTACCCATGAGCCACAATTGCTGTGCAGTAGATTAATTTACTCTGGTGCAGGATAGTACTGTCGTACATAGGTACTATCCTACACCATAGTAAGTTACTCTGCTTAAACACATGTGTAGGTGACATTGGAATTAGTTTACTCTGGCTCAAATTAAGCTGAAGTATATTTAGTCATATTAAATGCACGTGTAGATGCGCCCTGTATGAATAAGACAGCAGAGCTGACTATTCAATTAGTTTTTGGGGAATTTTTGATTAAATGTTTTATGCCTTTGTGTTTGAAATTAAAAATTGTAAACAGTACCTAAAAAATCTGACCAGCTGCCAAAACCTTCCACATTTTTTAATAACCTTTTTATATTATTATTTTTTTAATGGTGAGAAAGAGGAATTTCTTCCTTGGCTGTTTGTGGCAAGGGCTGTTCTTACCCTGGTTTTGTACAATGCCTAACACAACGGTTCTGGTTCATGGCTGGGGCTCTTTAGCACTACAACAATTTCTCTTCATTTTTGTTCAAAGGTTAAAAAGATGAATATATGCCTGGTTTTCCTCATTTTTGAAAAAAAAGTCTACTTTTTTGAGAAAAAGTTTAAAAGTGAACAAAAGTACTTGTAGGGCAATTTCCCTCTCCAAAATATGCAAACTGTAAGTGGAAAACGGAAGTATTTCCATTTCCAGAAACTGAAACAAGATGATATTTCAAGTCAAAGGGAAATGGAAACTTTCACTTTGTCTTGAACTGCTGATATGAAATTAAAGGTTTTTGCTTCCATTTTCCAATCAGGAAAAATAATCAAAATTGCTGATTTTTGATGAAAACTCCTGTTACAATGTGATTTTTTAATTATTTTTTTTTGGTTAAAAAAAATCAGTCAGTTTTAATCTTCACTGTTGGGCAAATATCTGAATCCTAAGCCACAAGGAAGGAGGCTGGAGAAGTTGGGTAAATACAGATTTGGTTTTCTCAATCAAGGATGAGAAGTCTTTTCTTTCTAAGAATCCCTTAATCTTATATTGCCCAAAGCAAATCTCTTTAAAGCTTTTGGGCATAGTTTGACCAAAGAAATTAGCAACATGCTTCTAGGGAGCACATACTGGAATATGGAAGAAGGAACATGGAGAGAAACAAACCTTCACAGTTGACTGAAACTTCATGTGGCTTGTAGGAACTTGTGCAGATGGAAGGAAATCTCTGTGATACCTCTGTGGTGGTGAAAATGGATAACAACCGAGACCTAGACATGGAGGGCATCATCAGGGAAATTGAATGCTGGTATGAGGAGATTGCACAGAAGAGCAAAGCTGAAGTTGATGCTTTGTACCGCACTAGAGTGAGTAACTATGCAGCTCTCATTAAAGTTATATGTACAAAATATAGTGGACATAGTTGGGGCCCAATCCTGCTTTCTGCTACAGTGGGCATGTCTACATATATAATGAATGTGAAGCAATAAGCTTATTGTGTAGATGGGCAGCATTTACCGTGGAGCTAATCAGTCTGTTCCACAGTAAACATCTCATGTAGACGAGCCACTGCTTCCAACCTCAAATAACCCTGCCAAAGCCATTGGAAGTGGCTTCTACTTGATAATTTTAGAGCAAAAAAAGTCTCCTTCCCCTGTCTCCAGCTTTGGTCGCAGCATGACCGTAACCATTTATTTTTGATATATTTCTTTCATTCATTCTATATATGTTTTCCTCCCTCCCCATTGGGGTCAGTCTAGACATGTCCTGTTTGTGTTCGTCTACACATAATGCTAACTTAGGGCGTGTGTAGATGAAACGGGGGCCCTAAATTGAAGTGGTGGGTTTTTAAAAACACCGTTTCAATTCAAAACCCAAATCATGACCCCCAAGTTTCTTTCAGCAGTGGTGCTAGCAAGCATGGCACTGCTGAGCCTATAAGTATGCCATGGTTTTTTTTCCCCCGAGGTGGAGTACCTTGCATTTATCAGTATTGAACGTCATCAGGTTTGTGTCTGCCTGCTTACTTAGCTTATCCAAGTCAGCCTGGATCACTAGCCTGTCCTTAGGTGTGGATGCTATGCCCCAAAGTTTAGTGTCATCGGTGAACTTAGCCAGTGTGCTTCTGACACGAATGTCCACATTGTTGATAAAGATGTTGAAGAGAACCGGTCCAAGGACAGAGCCTTGGGGGACACCACTTGTTATGGAAAGCCATAATGACTCACTGCCATCGACCACTACTCTCTGGGACTGAACTTGGAGCCAATTTCCCAGAGCATTTAACCCGCTTTAAAGTGTTGTGTACACACACCTCTTGTTTCATCTACATATGGTCTTAAGCTCTACTATTCATCAATATAGGTATTTATGTTATACTATTGTCTGAAGCTTGTTAAGCTATAGTTGATAGTTACTACCCTTGGTCTAAAAAGGTTACTAAATGTTGTTGCCAGCAACAGAAAGCAGATTTCCCAGAAGCCTCTGTGCTAGACAGATCTTTCAGAAACTTACAGTTAATTGCAAAATGAAGGACATAGGCTACCGAAGGACACTGTGGAATGGAAAATTAGTCATCTGAGGAAATGGTTTTGGAAATAATGAACACTCATAATTATGGGAGTTAAGTGTCTAGCTACTTTTGAAACCCATTGGCCACCCATGTGCATCCTTCGGGCACCTTGAAAAAAATCTGGCTAATTCACTTTGGAAAATGGGACTCAGGCCATGTGTACACTGCAAACTTACTATGCCATGGCATCCTTAGACATGCTGTACTGCTCTGTTCAACATGTCTAGTGTACTGGAGACAAGGTAATGACCTTTGTGAAACACAGAGCAGGCTAATTAGCACTGCTGAGAAACTGTGCCATTTAGCTTGTCCCATGCTAATTAGCCTGCCTGCAGCACCACAGAAATACGGCTACACTGCTTTGCCTTTCAGGCTGTATACAGCAATGTAGGATCATGGCCTCTAAACTCCCTTTGGGAAACTCTACCCACTGTTAACTTCTAACTATCACCTTGTCCCTCACTTTTCAGTTCCAGGAGCTTCAGGAGACAAAAGGAAGATATTGCAATGACCTAAAATGCAACCACCATGAGATTACTGAGCTGAGTCGGGTGGTCCAGAGACTGCAGCACAACCTTGACAATGCGAAGAAAGAGGTAGGTTGGTCTGTATTTGCCTGTATTTTAGTCAATATGATGGTACTGGTTATTCTGTGGTTACTCAGAGTGTTGGCTTGGAAGATGTTCTGGTTTAATTGAGGTTGCCTCATTATTTATGAATTTGGGACTTTCAGAGGGAAACACAACTTGTCTCCTCATGCTGATGAGTGAGATAAAGAGGAAACTCTGTTCTCTGCTTTCCCGCTCGCAGGTGGCCTGTCTCCAAACAAGCATTTGTGAGACTGAGCAGCGTGGGGACTGTGCCCTGAAAGATGCCCAGGGTAAATATGGGGAGCTGCAGAATGCCCTGCAGAAGGCCAAGGACGAGCTGGCGAGCATGCTGAGGGATTACCAGGAGCTGCTGAATATCAAGCTGGCCCTGGATATTGAGATTGCCATGTACAAAACATTGCTGGAGGGAGAAGAAAACAGGTAGGGGCATGTATGTCATGCTAGTTTTGAGTGTCCCCCCAGTCGATTTGATGGGGGCAAAGGGAAGAATATTGCAGTTTCTCAGGGCAGACATACCTTAAATCTCCTTGAGTCCAAGTCCCTGGCTGTATTTACCTCAGTTGCTTTTCTCTCCCCAACAGGATATGCACAGGGAGCCCTGTGAGAGTAGGTAGGTAAACTGAGGATTTGGGCCAGGGGTGGGCAATTACTTGGGCTGAAGGTCCACTTAATCAGTTTTGGTGTCCTCTTGAGGGCCACATCGCACTGTCTCTCCCCATCTCCTCCCTCCCTGGAGCTGTAGCATGCCCCGATCTTCTGTCTCTCTCCCTCCCTTCTCCTGCCTAGGCTGTAGCATGCCCCAATCCTGATCCCCACCCAGAACCTGTCGGTCCCGTCCACAGATTATGCCACCACCCACCCAGCATGGCATGGCAGAAGCAGCCCACCAACATCAGCAGTGGACATGCCCAACAGGTTCTGGGTGAAGATTGAGGCATCTGCCTGGGTCCACAGCTGACACAACTGCATCAGCGCTGGGTGGGAGCAGTCCCGCTTGCCTGCCATGTGCGCTGGAAGATGTCCTGCCCACACACCCAGCACCATGTGGCAGCTGGAGCTGCTGGCCACCTGCAGGCTGGATCCCATGAGTTGGGGGCTGCACACCTGTGGGCTGGATATAATCAAGTGTTGGGCCAGATCTAGCCCATGGGCCATATTTTGCCCACCCCTGATTTGAATAATTGTTTTCACAATGACCTTTCCAAGGTTGTTCATTCCGCGGCAGACTTGGCTTTCCCCTGAATGACTGAAGATGTGTTTTCTTGCCACAGTGGTCACCACTCCTTGCAATGTCGTCGGTGATTGTGGGTATGGAGATGGCACTGGAGCAGGATGTGGCTACCCCCCTGTACATAAAGGGTGCAGCCCTGGATATGGAAGACAAGGCTCAGTGAGTGGGGGATTCAGCTGCTGCAGCGGAGGTTACTACCCCAGAGGAAGGGGCTGCATGCCCAGAGATGCAGAGCATGGTCCAGCAGGAGGATTCACCTCTAGAAGCCTGGGAAGCTGTGTAGGCAGGCAATACATCCCTGGGGGAATGGGCTATTGTCCAGTGAGGGGCTACCCTTCCCCACGTGGTGGTTTTAGCTCCAGAAGTGGTGGCTGCATGCCCAAAAGGTCATTCAGCTTTGACCGCAGGGATTGCAATCATGGGGCTGTAGGGAGCTATGGCAGTAACTGCACACATGTGGGCAGCTCAGTAAGGGCTGGTTACCCAAGAGGTGTTGGTAGCCCTGGGGTGAAGATATCAATGGGGCCCCCCTTGATGAGGAACATCAAGATGTAAAACCACCATGGCAAGAACAAGCAAGGGAACTAAAACAGGCCCGGCTTGCTCACAGCAGTACAACCTTTGTGTCCATCATGGATGGTGAGGCTTCACCTGAGACATAGGCATGCCCTGTGGAAGTGACATCCTTAGTAGTCCCCTTGCTCTGAAGGTCCACGGCAGAGACAGCTTGCCAGCAAGCTTTTAAAGTGGTGATACTTTTAAGCATTGCTTCTTCTGGTTTATGCTGTTTCCTTATAAAGCCTGTGTCTGTCTGTCTCTAGGTATATGCCACATCCTCATTCCCTTACAGCTCTTCTCTTCTTCCCTCTGATTAAACCTGGGTTAACTACATATTATGTGGATCTAAGTATAAAAACAGACCTTGTATTTCTCCCGGGACAAAGCTTTTCAGTCTGGGATCCCACAGATGTACAAGCCCATTGTCCTACTTTAAGTACCTGTCAAGTTCCAAGATAACATTGTTTCCCTGGGACAGTTGGGGCTAATTTGAGTTAATTATGTGTATAAAGGACTGTCTCCATGCTTGCTTTGATGTAAATTAAAGCCCAGGATTACCAGATCAGGGATTAACCTGAAGTCTGTTTTTAGCCTAAGTTGTTTTTCTTGATGTAGCGCCCTAAGGAGGTTTTTAGGACATGAAATAAAGTGTTGTCTGGACTCTGCTCTCCTTTCCCTTTCTTCAACGTCAGCCTGAAGGAACTGTAGGCAAAGCAATCTAATTACACCAGTATGAAACCGATGACATGGGGATCAGAGTCAGGCCGTGAGGAACTGAGAAACTAGAGCACTCGTTTTTTGTCTTTAATCTGTTTGTTCTCAATAGAGAGCACATGTCACAAAAGATTTAATTCCATCAAATACCATATCTACTTGCCTATCTCCAGAAATTACCCTTTCAAAATGTCTTAAGCAGGGAATCTGATTTTCTATCCAGCACCCTGCTTTGATTCCTGCTCCACTCAAAGTTTAAAAACAACTGCCCAGCAGTCGCTGTGGCATTTCTATTCAGGAAGCAGAGGGGGTCGGTTGACTTAATGGCTCATTGCTCTTTACTTCACAAGTGTAAATGACCATCTCTCCAGTTTAATGGTCTTGAATTTCCACTAATCAAGCTAACCTTTCTTCCAGCAATGTTGCTGTCTACTAGCTACTCCTGGTCTACCCTGTCCTATATCATAACCCTACAGAATGTTTTTAGCAGTCTTATAAATCATAGACCCACCTATGGAGACCAGTGTTCAGTAGTAGCTAGTTTCAGCTTTTGGTTGAGCAGGAAAGAGAGGGTGAATGAGCTGAAGACGTGGCTGTGTCTCTGCTCTATGCATCCATAATTCTGAAAAAAATCTTTTTTCCTTCATTCTGCCTGCCCCAAAAAAACAGGTACGGGTCTTATTTGGGGCATGTAGTATGTGAGAAATATGGAATGTATGTGTGCACATGTGTAGGTGTATATTAGTCAGCCATGAGCATTTAATGTTGCTTGTGTTCTGCAAAATACCCCTCTTTCCTTCTCTTAGTCTGTGAACTGGATGATAAAGCTTGTGCTTTTTATATACGCAAAAACCATTGTGCCATTGCTTGGACCTTGATGACTGGCAAAAGATCTAAGCTTTCTGCTCTGTCTCTAATAAAATGCATAAAGAATGACCGGGTTTTTTCTGAGTTTTTAATGTTTCAGGCACACACAAGAATGCCTCATGGCAAGAGTGAGTTTTTGGCTTAGAAGGTATCTCTTCAGCAGAATCCACAATGAGGAAATGAGAAGGGCTTTCAGTCCTGCCCGGAGAACATGACATAGAACTGATCTTCAGCTGGTGAAGGCTGGTCTTGCCTATTTGAAACCACCTCTTTATACTGACCAAGATCTTGCCTCTGGTATTTAACAGAAACATGAAGACCCACAAAAAGATTGTTATCTTCTTGCCCACTGTCTCAAAAAGTTTATACCACATCCATTATCCTGATATCAAAGCATCGAAAATACATTTTTAAGGAAATGAATAATCTATTGCAAATAGGGTCCTTTAGAAGTACATGGAAAATTATGATTGGTTGTTTATATTACTCCAGGAAATAGCAGCTCAGGTTTTCAGGACATATCAAAGGGATAGCTACAGGGGCTGGAAAAAAATCGTATGCCCAAATGTAACAAATTGGCAGGACAATCCATCTACAAAGTGCTGATGTGTTTGGAGATTAGGGTGATGAAAGTCAACTTGAAGAACAGAGAAAATGAATCACAGAGTCCAAAAGATGGTTTAGACAGGGATGATTTTCAAAAAGATTCGGGAGATGAGCGCTATACCTCTCCTATTTTGGAAATGGATTGTTCCCCCGAATAATCAGTTCTATCAGAATTCTGATCTTTCTCTTTGAAGTGATGTTGCATATACTATTTAGAAATATTTCTCCATCTCCATATGGGTATAATCAAGACATGAAAATGATGGCTAATCTTCCTGTTTATTCTGCGTTTGTTTTTTCTATGCTTTTTTCTTTCCCTTTTCACAGCCAAGGATATGATCTGTTATGCCAGGATTTGGGATTCTCCCTAAATCTCTCATTTGCTACCACTGTACAGTCCTTTGGTGGCAGGTATCAACCCAAGACAGATCAAAGCATTCTTCCGCTTTGTTACAGCATCAGATTTACTGGCAGTAATTGCTATGCAGAGGCATAACATATATACATCACTCACTTAGGGTAATTTTAATGTGTGTGTATGTTGTGTTGTGTATACTGGCTGGGACTTCAAAGGATGCTAATGACCATTACATTCCATCTGAGTAAGAATAGCTTTTGAAATTCCCAACTTCCATTGCTAATATATATCAAAGTTTTATGTTGCATGGGGAAAAATATGTAAAAAAAGTTGACGTGTCCTAGAAAATCTGTTTAACATTCAAGGGATTTCTAAGTATCTTATGCATGGGGTTTGCGAATCTTCATATCCCACGAAACTGCCAAATTGCATCTTATCTGCGTCCAACACAAATGCCCCATGTGCTCAATGACATGTGGTGAGTTGGTGCGTGGTGGCCATAGTACCCTGATGCAAGCAGATGGCTACTGTTGCTATTCTCCTGGCTAATAATGCTGCATATCATTTACCAGATAGCACATGGCTGCTTGAGGTTATGATGTACAAGAGGTTAACACAGATGAAATCTACTCTGAGGGTGCATCTACATGTGACGCTTTAATGCACATTAAAAATGAACGCACATGTAGATGTGTTAAAGCGCATTAACGCGCATTAACGCGCATTAACGCTGTGTGTGTGGACTGACTTGGGTCTAAAGTAAATGCACTTTAATGCCTGCACATGTAGACACCTGCCTAAACCCGCTTAATGCACATTAAGCTAATGTGCATTAAATTTAGGCATGCTTAAATGCATGTGTAGACATGCCCTGAGATCAGTTAATATAGAGACATCTCCAAAGGCTACCAGTAAATGAGTATGTATGAAACTCATGCTCTCAAAATGAAGTATTCTTCTTTTTAAATATCCCCATTGGTAAAATATCCTTTATACAAGAAGAATGTTGAGCAAAAGAGAGAAATGGAAGATACAAGGATTAATTCATGAATATAGCTTCTCTTCAATATATTTTGTCCAACCTCCCCCTCCCAACCAAAAGATACAATAGTCCGTATCTTGCCTCCAAGACATCAATTCAAGCATGCACCAGATAGCTTGTTACATTTAGAATCAAAACGTGCAGTAATTACTGAAAAGACCTAATAAACTATTTATCACTAAGTCATCAACATACTGAACTTGTATTAGGAACTGGTAGCCACTGACTTGTTAACTTTCAGGAAAGTCCTGGACCTGATGTGAAGTCTTGAAACAAGGAGCTTTGCACTGAGGCTTCTGTAGCACCGGGATCACTGATTATACTGGGCAACAAAACATGGTGCCTTCCAAGTACTTCTCAAACTGCGTAGGGGGTATTGCAGGGTGGCATAGGACATCCAGCATGAATTTGCATAGATCATCACCCGTGGGCCAGGATGAAATCTTTGCGGACAGCACATATGTTAACTATAGCTGAGTGAACAGTGTTAACGATCTTGCTTTGAGTCATCCTCTGGATTCTAAAGTTAGTCCTGCTTAGGTGATTTTCACATTGGAGTGTTACATATTTGGCAGTTTCCAGCAGTGCAAATGTTGGTATGAATGCTCAGCCGGGTGCCAAAAGTACATTTTGTCTTAAATCCTCAGTTGCAAAATTGCTGGTGACAAATGAGCAACTGAAAATATTTACAACTGCATCTGTCCTCTGAAATTCATGTTTTAAATGACTTTGCACTTAACCTGCATATGTAAGGGGACTCATTTTATATAACTAATTTATGGCAACTAACCCATCCTGCTTATTTAAATTATAATTATATAAAGTACATGCTTTTCACTGTTAATTGAGTATTTTGTGCTCATAGGCTGCAATTCGAATACTGTGAAAACCATGTATGAAACTCCCAAGCAATAACAAATGAACAGTTTTGAGAATTTCATTATTATATGGACAACTTTCTTAAAAGATCTATGAGCTAGTAAAGTCTTATTTGTGCTCTCTTGTGTGGATTTAGGATTAACTACCAATTTAACAAGAGTTACACAGGAAGTTTTCATTGGGCGCTGACAGAAATGACATTTGTCACTTGATTGGCCCCTTGAAGCACTGAACAGAAGTGCACAGCTGCAGAGCACTTTAAAAGTGCCCGATCACATGATGAATTAATCCTCATTACATAAAGGTTCAGAGGAAGGTGCTCTAAAGTGGAGCACCTTTATTTACTTCTGTGTGATTGAGGGGGCTACAATTCACCCACCTCCAGTTTAGTGCAGCCTGGGCAAACCCTGGCCCGGAGCTCCCTCCCCTCCATTCTCCCCATCCCACTATGCAGAAAACACTGGAGCTTGGAGGGGCACAAGGGGAGAGAGGCTGCAGACATGCAGTGCCTTCTGCATCAGCTCCAAAGTGGTGCTTGATCCCTCACACCCCCAGAACCAACAGCAAATGTCACTGAAACTCATGGCGCTTTCTGTAAAGTGCCATGAGTTACTGCAGGGGAGCTGCACTTTTGTCAGCACCCATTGTTTTTGTGATCTGGGCAGCGTAAGAATCAAAGTGTCTCTTGGAAAATTTGTCCATGAAGGGCAAACAAGCCTGGAGCCTGTCTGTTCGAGAGCTCTCTTTCCTCTTGTTCTAATTTAGCAGCTACCATAACAAGGCCTCCTCCATCTTGGATTGAATAGCGTGAATAAGGTGTTCTCTGTAACAACTCTTCTTAGGAATGCTCTGTCTTCTCATTGCCGGACAATCATAACTTATTCTGATCCTCTAGACCAGTGATTTTCAACCTTTTTAGACTCAAGGTGGTCCTACTCAAGGCACCCCTAGATAAACTTGAGGTGCCCCTTGCAAAACGTCTGCTCTTGGTTTTCACTCTTTTTTTCACTACAAGAAAATAATAGAGTGTTCATTTTTTTTCTGTTGCAAAGACCTCAGACCATGATGATGGATTTCTATTTCAAATCTCAGGGTTTATCTTGTGAATCACATTTGCAAACCTAACAGAGCTAACACCGTATGGCATGCCTGGTTAAGAATCACTGCTTTGGCATCCTCTAAAGCAGTCGTTCTCAACCTTTTTTGTACTGGGACCCATTTGTAAACATCGATGGCCAGTCTCAACCCAGACTCTTGACCCATTGCCCCCAGGCCCCCAGCATGTGGGGTGGGGGAGATGGGGCAGGGGGCCCCCAAAGCAGACATTTGCAAGCTGGAACTGTCAGCCTGCAAGGGGAAACCCATGGTTTTTCTCCTTTAAAGGAGAATCCATTTTTAAAGGTTGTTCACAACCCTTTCATGTATTCTTGCAACCCACTTTTTGGTCATGACCTGCGGGTTGAGAAATGCTACTCTAAAGCTTATCACTTTGAGCGGGCACTAGGAGATGCCAAAGACAGTTGAAACAGGGATTTGTCCATAGGAAACTCAGTGGGGACATTAAGCTTCATTGAACGTACAGTGGTTGGTTACCAAGTGGCTGACACAATTGTCTGCAAAAGCTGACTTCACAGAAATTCCTCCAGGGCCTAATTTTATGTCTTGTACAGACTCCCAAGCAAAATGGAAAAGATTTTCAGCACAGGTAAGAAAAACAAGCATGGTTCTACTTTGTTGCATTTTTTTTGTCGTTGTGTTTGTGGGGCTTTTATGCACCTAGAGCGGTGCCTTTTGGTATTGGAAACTGGTGTATGATCCGAATCTGAGCAAACAGATGTGCTGCTGCGTAGTAAGCTGAGAGAGGAAACCAGAGTGGGATCACAAGCCTTTTGCTTTATGTCTGCATGCCTAATGTTACTAGTGCCGTAGGAGGTTGGAAAGATGATTTGACCCAATGCAGCAGTGGCCAACATCAAACTAAATTGTGCAAGTGATGTTTTGAAAGGGCTTGCTTCCAAAACAAGGGTGGCACCCATTCTACATCTGACCTATAATCTTCTTTCAAAGTTAACACCCACATATCCTATGAATTAATTTTCTAAGAGCTACTCAGGGGAACATTTTTTTAACCTGAATTACCCTCCTTTAACTTACTAATGACTTTTTCCTCTTCTTTAGTCTTTGTTGTGAACATGTTCTGAACTTCCTCCATGGGCTATTTTTGTTCCCTGTACAGTTCTTCAGTGAGTTTATCTGACTGGCTATTAAACCCCCAGTCTAATGAATGACAGGCTTGTCAAGAGAACATGACTGAAGAGCTGTTGAAGATGCTTGGGAAGTTTTATCCCTAAACTGAGATGGCATTGATCATATCGCTATATAACCCACAGAGAGACCTGCAATGCTTACTGGTAATTATTCCCCTGATGTCTCATTTTTCGGTATAATGATGAGGGAACTCCGAGGAGAATGAAAAAAGCATGAAAGATCCCATGAGTTTGTGTCACAACTTTTTGGCTGGATCCAGAGGTGCAGGTGCAAACCTTTGTGCGGTGCCACAAACCACATAGGTTGCACGTTAAACTGTGTGTGGGCAAAATTTGCTACCAGGATAGCACAAAAAATCCCTGGAAAAAATGTGGCACAAAGCACACCACAATGCTGTGTGCCCAGATAAACGTGAAGATGGGGGAGTAGGCAGCCCAGGGCTGCCTGCTTCCCCATCTCCGCACACTGTGGAGCCCCTGCACTGAAGCACCCTGTACCCTCACCAGCCCCCTCTGCAGCACACGGGGTAGTGGGACAATGTGTCCCTCTGCAAACTGCACAAGCAGGGGTGTGCACAGCAGCACAAAGCAGCGGCACAAATTTGTGCCGCGACCGCCTGTGCTGCTGCAAATGCACATCCCTGCTCGTGGGGATGCGGCCCTTGTTCTCTTGCACATAAACAATGATTTCCAACTGCGACCCTGTTAAGCTCCCCTCAGTTAATCAAGTTTGACTCCAGTCTGTCACTGTGTAGCCTACCCAGTCTTGCCCTGCTGCTTTTTGTCAGTTTGGTGAAAGAAAGGACACCAAAGCATCACCCTTTAAAGGCCACATCTGCACACTGTGCCATCCCAAGAGGTGGCCTGAGCCCAACACCTCCGCAAAACATCAGGAGGACTATAATTAGCCTAAATGAGCAGAATGCTTTAAAAACCTATTGTCATCTGAGCAAACCTGCACCCCAAGCATTTTGAAATTCCTTATAATTTCATTAAGTGGTACATGTTTACTAGGGTGCCTTGCCTGCTACATGTTTGGCTTGCCTGATGGCTATTGGGCAAACCAAACCCTTGCAGCTCTAAATAATTCCCTAGCAAGCCCAGTGTCACACACACATGTATTTATATAGAGTGCTGTCACAGAGTCACACTAGAAGGGTTTCGCTACCCTTTGCTCTCTGCTTCTCTGCTGCAGCACAGCTCCCCACTTCATCTTCAAAGAAGTCACCATGAGCAGGCCGGGAAGGTTGACAAGATCCATCAATAGACAAAGAGGCTTCAGTTCAGCTTCTGATGTCTGTGGCGTAGAGAGACGTGGAGCCTATAAAGCCTCTCCGTGCCCACCTGTTGGAAGATGTGAAGTGGGTGACTACAGCAGCAACAGCGCCTGTACCCTGGGTGGAATGAGAAGACTTCCCCATGGGACTGGATATCTCAGCGAGGGCTACGGTGCCGGAGGCCACAGATGGGCAGGTTACAGAGGTGTTGACTCTGGACGATTTGGAAGTGTTAGCAGCAGGGTAGATGTTTGTGGCCATAGAGGTTATGGCACTGTTCAAGGGTATGGTACTCTGGGAGGCTACACTGCTTGCAAGCGTGATGGTATCCAAAGGGTCTGCATTAACAAGAGTCTTCTAACGCCTCTCTGCATGGGAGTTGATCCACAGGAACATCAGGTCCGATCCCAGGAGAAGGAGCAGATGAAATGCCTCAACAACCAGTTTGCCTGCTTCATTGACAAGGTGAGAATGGAAATAACTTCTCATTGTTCTAATAAAGTGAAGATCCTGGCCTATCCCGTAAATGTCTGATTGGGACCTGGATACCGTTCCAGTCTTCCACAAGGTTTCTGCTTGCCCAGAGCATGATCTTTGTGTGCTTGGCTTGTGACTCAATGAAATGCCTTCTGCTACAAGTGGAAAGGCTTGCAGGTTGCTTTATTGGAATTGGGTTTTGCCTGTAGGTAGAGCACTGAAATCTTTAACCCTTTGGAAATTCTCCTTCACGTGAAGGCTGTAAATAAAACCTGAATGTCCAGTCTCAAGAGTACTCAATGTCTTAACCAAAAGTTATGGGTTTGGTGCAGGGATTGATGGGTACATTTTTCTAGCTTGTGTTCTATAAGAGTTCAAACTAGATGATTCTTGCGGTCCTTCTTGCCTTGAATTCTCCAAAGGTATTCAGTAACAAGTATTGCCCATTCTTTCATTTTCTCTAATGAAACTACATAACAGTCTTCTTGCTATTGTGACAATATTATTCTAGCTGGAACAGAAACAGGTGCATTATTCTTTTCAGTCAAGAATGGCAAAAATCGATATAATATACAGGTTATTGAAAGGAACAGAACTGATAGGCCTAACCCTGCTCTTAAATGTGAATTAATAATAAAAGTGCCACTTTTAATGACCATAGAAACAGTGCGAGATTACCCTTCATTTGTGATCTCATGGATGCTCAGTATTTGCCATCCCTGTGGGCATTCATGACTTGGTAATAAAAGACTGTGATACTTAGCGCACAGTTCTACTTAGAAGACCTGAGATGAGGGTTATGTCATTATGGTTTGATACTATAATTCATTGTGTTGGTTTTTGATACTGTATGTTTAACACCAGCAATTATATCTCTTTCATTATTATGCCATGATGTACATATGAAAGGGAATGGAATGGAAACTATATGAACTTAAAGTATATTTGAATAAATATTTATTATTATAAACTATCACGCAACACCTGCTATCTTCCTGCTTTCTTTGGACTTGAAAGTGCCATATATTCTACCTATCTTGCCAAATAACTAATGCATTCTCTGCTTCTGAGTCACATAGAGCAGCTTAACCAGGGTATTGGTTTAGTAGAGTCAGTTCTTTGGTAGGAACTTTAGACCATTTGAAGATGTGTTGAATTATGGTTGACAGGTGCAATGTCTGGAGCAGCAGAACAAGGCGCTGGAGACCAAGTGGAATCTCTTGCAGCAGCACACAATGCCAGCCGCCAGGAAAACTCTTGAGGCGTACTTTGAGAATTACATCTGTAAGCTGAAGAAGCAGCTGGAGTGTTTGCTGGGTGAAAGGGAACAGCTATCCAACAAAGAGTGTGTGGCAAAGAAGCTTGTTGATGAGTTTAGGTGCAAGTAGGTTGTGATCTATTGGTTGTTTTTCTTCTCTCCTTGCTCCACTCCTTGAGCTTTATTATTTCAGTGCATGAACGACTGGTGCCGCCCGAGACTGGGGTGGGGTGCGGGGGCCCCATGGTGGTGAGCGGGGACCACGTGCAACCACAAACACCGGTGTCAGCAGCAGGAGGTGGGGAGTGTGAGGTGGGGGGTGAGCGGCGACCACCTGCAGAAGCCAGCGGTGGCTTTGGCAGCAGCCAATCTCAGAGGGGGCACGTGCCCCCCCCATATCCTCCCTATGCATCGCCTATGCCTCAGTGTTTGCTAAAGCATCTGTCCAGCTGGACTGAAATGATGAGAATTAGTCAAAAGGATTTATTTTTGCCCAAAGTCAAGTTCTATCTTATCACTGTGGTTCATGCGAACACTTCTAATTCTTTATCACAACTCATCAGGGGAGATCAACAGCAAATAGGCAGAGCCCTTTTCTCCCCAGCACCACCTGGGGTGACGAGGAACAATGGTCATAAGCTGATGGAGAATAGGTTTAGGTTAGAGATCAGAAGGCAATATTTTAAAGTCAGGGTGGCCAAAATCTGGAACCAACTTCGCAGGGAAGTGG